AAGAAAAATACCATTGTTACAAAAGGTCAGGTTTGACATAATGGTTTTGTGAGAATGGCCAGAGATGAGGTTGGATACATAGGCTACAGCAGACCTTAGAAACTCTGGTGTTTTGTGAAGGTTGAGTCATCTGGGGAGTATTGTGGACATAGAACTTGGCAGCAGGAGGGTCTGGGACTCTATAGAACCAGTGTTCTTGGGACGGCAGGACTAAAAGGGACCTAAAAAGGTAAGCAAGTCCATGTGGGTGGGTGAGAAGAGCTGGAGAAGACAAGCACAGAAGCATTTGAGGCAAGGGCTGAGCGACTTTGCAGTGTACCTGGGGCCCGCTTTGATTAGAGGAACTTCTAAGGTCTGAGGAAGACATCTGGATAGTGTGTCTATGACAGACCTAATCTTTTGAGGCAGGGTCTCAAATTCACTAGCTGAGGCAGTCCTTAGAACTCATGATTGCCCCACTTCTACCTCCTAAATGCTAAGATTACAGGCATATGTCTGTATCTTGAAGTATATCATACCATGCCATGACTACAACTAAAGCTTTGAGTGAAATGTATTTCAAGCTTTCCTGGATTTATGTTTTATGGGGGATAGGAATGCACTGAACCTAGGGCCTCACACATGCTAGACAAGTGCTATACCACTGAGCTATATCCCCTGCCCTTAAGTGCTGCTTTTCCATCGGCACAGAGGCTGGCTGCACTTTATCTGCTGCTGTTTTAGCCAGCAAATGTGGCTCCACAGTTACTGGCCACTTCTCTAGCAGTGGCCAGGCCACTCAGGCTGTACCTGTAGGAATGCTGTTCCTGCAGACATGACTGCTGCCAAATATAGCTTTTAATTAAATCTAGCTTTTAATTAAATCTATTCTTCTACTTATCAATGAGACTCAAAGGCTGGGGTGAAAACCTGCTAGCTCAGAGAGGCTGAGTAGCAGCTAGCTGAACTGCCAAAACAAAAGGACCCATGCTACACTAAGTCCCTCCCTACTACTTCCTGTGCGTCTATCATCTTACAGACACCCTATGACTCTCTATGATTACTTTCTGTCAACTACTTGCTAACTCAGCCTCCTGACCCAAGGTTGATTTTATTTAATTAATGCAAATGCAAACTAGGGTTTCACAGTGTGATCAAATATCCCACAACACTTAAGAGAGATCTGGGGAAGGTTATAGGACCTTTTCTTCCTAGAGCTCACAGAAGCTCAGCCAAATTCTTGTGCTTACAGGTGTCAGTGTGAAGAAGGGACAAGAGCTGGTGAATATCTATTGCCCCGTGGTCATCTCCAATGCAGGAATGTTCAATACCTACCAGCACTTAGTGCCGGAGAGTGCCCGCTGTCTGCCAGGTAAAAGGGTGGTCTTCTGAACTGACATTTCGTCTGTGGAGCTTATAACTCAGCCTGGTGATGCTCCCCCTCTTCCTGGGCACCTCCCTGGCTGTCTATCTCTGGTCTGTGGCGCCAGCACTGTAACGTTTACATTTGGGAAACCTAGGACCACACAGGTGAAAAATCCCTTCTCAGAGGCAATGGCAGAGCTCTGAGGACTCTGTCATGTCAGATGCAAATGTCTAGGCTTTATTCTCAGGCCTTTGCCTGAGAAACTGGGACTTTAATAGAAAAGGACTCACTTAAAGTGCAGAAGAGGGCTGGGGATGAAACCCAGTTGGTGAGAGTGCTTGCCTGGCATGCATCAAGCCCTGGATTTGATCCCCAGAACCAGACAAGGCAGCTGTGGTGGATTTGGCTGTAATCCCAGCACCCTAGAGGGAGGCAGGAAGATAAATTCAAAGTCATCCTTGGCTATGAGACCCTGCCTCAAAAAAACAAACAAAAAAAACAAGGGCCACTGAAATGGCTCAAAGGGTAAAAAAGTATTTGCTGCTAAGTCTGGTAATGTGAGTTAGATCCCCAGAGTAGAAGAAGACAACCAAGTTGTCTTCTGTCTTCTCCCTGCTTATCCAGACATGTACTTGTCCATGCACACCCACAATTTAAAAAAGGAAAGGGAAAAAAATGAAGAAAAATCTAAACATCAAAGGTGAGGTTGAGACAGCCTGATTATCCAGAGGTGCTGTGAGTTAGCTGTGCTGGGAGCCAGCACCTATGACTAAGGTACACAGAGCAGAGGTGGTAGAGGTAGAAAATGTCTGAGGCTGTGTTTGACATAGCCAGGAAGAGACAGAAGAGCAGGTCCCTGCCAGGGTCTTGTAGAAACAGTTGTAAAAATGGCTAGGTCTCTATCCAAGAGGGCAGCTGAGCAGCAAGCTGCAGATTAGAAAAGGGAGCACCCTGAGACTATCCTGACAGGGAGTAGCTGTCTGGTCACAGCTCCTGCAACGCAGTCCCCACTGGCTTTCTCTACAGATGTGAAGAAGCAGCTGGCAATGGTACGGCCTGGCATGAGCATGCTCTCAATTTTCATTTGCCTGAAAGGCACCAAGGAGGACCTGAAGCTTCAGTCCACCAACTACTATGTTTATTTTGACACAGACATGGACAAAGCGTAAGATGCGAGGGGGTGGGGCAGACTGATGGCACTGGGCCTTAACCTACAAGACCCTGCTTCCACCTTTGACATGGTTCCAGGAATAGGCAGTAGGATGTGTATAGAGGGGGGAGGTGCACAGTCCCCAGTGTACTCCTAAAAAACCTTTTCATATCGAAGCTGTGTCTGTTTCACCCCTGTGGGGAGTTCCTGGAAGTGAACCATCTTTTGGGTGGTACTGGTAGCTTGGGGCAAGGGGGTGGCCTACTGATTGGCAGTCACAATTTCCTCATCCACAGGATGCAACACTATGTCTCTATGCCCAAGGAAAAAGCTCCAGAACACATTCCCCTTCTTTTCATTGCCTCTCCATCAACCAAGGACCCAACCTGGGAGGACCGATTCCCAGGTAGGGCTCTAGGTCCTGGGTAGTTGGGTGTGGGTCAAGGCAGGGCCAGGCAGCAGTGACATTGCCTTATACCTGCAGACCGATCCACAATGACTGTGCTGGTGCCCATGGCCTTCGAGTGGTTTGAGGAATGGCAGGAGGAGCCAAAGGGCAAGCGGAGTGCTGACTATGAGACCCTGAAACATGCCTTCATGGAAGCCTCCATGTCCGTGGTCATGAAACTGTTCCCACAGCTGGAGGGCAAGGTAGGGGTTGACACTCGAAATGCTGGAGGTCATAACACACCCCTAACTGCATTTGTCTTTTCTTGGGTTCAGATAAAGGCTGAGATACCAAAGTCCTAAGGAAGGATTAGGCCCTTGCAAACTCCCTTGCTCACCTTTGCTCTGCCCTTCTGCCTCCTCAGGTGGAGAGTGTGACTGGAGGATCCCCACTGACCAACCAGTACTATCTGGCTGCTCCCCGAGGTGCTACCTATGGGGCTGACCATGACCTGGCTCGTCTGCATCCTCGTGCAGTGGCTTCCCTAAGAGCCCAAACCCCCATCCCCAACCTCTACCTGACAGGTACACTGCCTCACTTTGCCAGAATCTGGGCTTGCCTGACAGTTATTTGTTCCCATCCTCAGGCCCTGCTGTCCCCTTCAGCTCCATACCAGGAACTGGGCTGCCTCTTTGGGTGGCCTTGATATGGAGGGATGAACACAAGAACCCTTGCTCTCCCATCCTCATTCATGGGCCATTGCTTTTGCCTTCTAGGCCAAGATATCTTTACCTGTGGGCTGATGGGGGCCCTACAAGGGGCCTTGCTGTGCAGCAGTGCCATCCTGAAGCGGAACTTGTACTCAGATCTGCAGGCTCTTGGCTCAAAGGTTCAGACACAGAAGAAGAAGGAGTAGTCCATTCAGAGATATGCTGGAGGAATGGCACTTTCTCCAACTTTTCTCATGGTGTCCTCCTACAGTGATTCCTTGCACATATAACCAAAACCACTTTGTTTCTACTAACTGCTGTAAATTGAGTCCTTCACCTAGACCTCTTCCCCTTTGTACCTTGCATTTCTACTTAGGGTCTAGTGTGGGCTACATAGCCTTGATGACTCACCATGAAGAATGCTTTCATTCCTTCCCCACACCCAACACTGAGCAAGGGTCAGGCACCCAGAACCCCTTAGGGTATTGGCTATTGGATTAGGTAGGTCAGGTCCTGCCCTGAAGCACTCTGTACTGTCAAAGGGAAGGATGACTAGCGTGGGTTTGGTGTGGCAACTCTCAAAGTGAGGCAAGAAACTCTCAGCCTTAAGTTTTGTCCTCTGATAGAAGCAGGCTGAAGGAGCATTCCAATCAAAGACATACAAAAAGACACCACTTTACCAACAAAATGTCCTATACACCAGCCAGCTGAGATCTTGACTAGAGAGAGAATGGTCAGCTAGGTAAGGAGGAGATGAGAGTGGAGACGTTGGGCCTCAATACAGGAAGCCCAGAGTGCACCAAGCCTAGAGATGGCCTTTGTGGTTGTTAGCACATATTAAAAACTGAGTTTTGGTCGGGCGTCGATGGCGCACGCCTTTAATCCCAGCAATCAGGAGGAAGAGGCAGGTGCATCTCTGTGAGTTCGAGGCCAGCCTGGTCTCTAGAGCGAGTGCCAGGATAGGCTCCAAAGCTACACAGAGAAACCCTGTCTCCAAAAAAACCAAATAATAATAATAATAATAATAATAATAATAAAAACAAAAACAAACAAAAAAAACAAACCCCAAAAAACTGAGTTTTGTTTTCCAAAATGCTTGGAATCAGAATTCCTTCAGATTTTATAGCATTTGCATACATATAACTTGGGGAACAAGATCCAGGACTAAACCTCAGATTCGTTTGTTTCATATACATAGACCAGTCATAATATCCTAGGTAATATTTTGAAAACTTGTGAGCATTCTATGACCTGTCACATGAGTTCATGCTATTAAAAAAGGCTTGCTTTGGGTTTTAGAATAGGGATTCTCAACCTATATGAATAAATTGGCAAGGGGGTAAAAATTTAAAACCTTTCACTTACGTTAAACAGGTACTAATTTTAATTCATTTAAATATAGTAATGTTTCAATGCTTTGATATCTGAAGTTTATTTTGGTTTCTGTTCAATAATGACATGAAACTACACTGAGATGCCATTTACAGAAGCTCAATAAAATATATTGAAAAATACTTATACCACAATAAGCTTTTAAAAAATAAAATCAAGCCATTATAGTTAAATTACAAAAAAGGTGAAAATACAAAACATAACTAACAGTGGCAATCTACTAATTGGCTAAACAAAACAAGGAAAATTATTTCAACATTTACTCATTTACTTAACATGGTAGTCTGAATTAAATTCCTATCACAGTGTAAGGAGGCCACCTTCATGGGTAGGTGGTTTGCTATGCTATGCAAGCTGAGGGGCTTCTCAAACTAGAGTTTCTAAGCTAAAATTCTTACAGCTTTCTTAGGGCAATGCCAAACTGAACCTTCCTAGCAAGAGTTTTTCAGAGAAAACTGTATCAGAGGGCTTGGGGCCCAGGGAAATCTTATCAATGTTCAAATGGCTCAGGGCATAAGCAAAGCATGCCACACTTCCAGAGAAAGAAGAAGAGTAAGCTTCACTACTACCAGGAGAATTCGGAAGGGCACACAGCTCTGTTTCCAGGGTAAAACATGTTTGCACATTTAGTTAGTTGTTTGGTCCAGAAGTGGCTTCTATAATCCATAGCAGGAAAACAAACTATTAACATGTATGACAAGCAGGTTCCCCTTAAGAAACGAACCTTCAGCCAAAAGCTGAGCAGGAGAGCAAGCGCAGAATAGTCTACAGAAGTGCTACTTGTGGCTTCCTGTGCTTTCTACATGCCAGCCCAGCCCCTGGTGTGGATGTCTCAGCTGGGCCATCACCATCTACACACTCTAGAAAAATATGCTTCAAGTATTCTACCTTTAAAAAATAATCCTGAAAATGACTTTTCTTTGGTAGGAGCCATCTCCTTACAGTGCAACTTTTCAAGGGAAACATTCCACTGTACTCTGTCAGCACAAGAAACCTTTGTCAGCAATCCAAAGGGGTGAGGCTTTGTAGACTCTGGTGATATTTCATGTGTCTCTCCACTGGCTGCCAATCTTGATTCCTGAAAATCAACCTTCCTGCCCTTCAAGAGCAGAAGTCAACAAGTTTAAGGTCATAGAGCCAGGAGCCAGGATTAGCTGTGTGAGCTCCAGTTTCAGTTACACCTCCAACAAGAAATTTGAACCCTGAAGTCCCCGGGGGTGTTCACAACACTGTCTCTCAGGGCTTACATCAGAACTAGTAACGCTGAAGTTACAAGATGAGGTTGAAAAGAAGACCTACCTGTGTGGAATGGAAAAAGCCAATCTACCAATGAAGCTAGGAAGGAACATAACATGAGCTGAGTCCTTCAAAACACTCGGACCTGAGTAAGCTGAGAGGAGGGGGAAAGCCTAACCACAGAACAATACCAGAAGCTGGAATACAGAGCACATGATGAGGGCAGAGGCAGAGAGGGAGTGTCGCCTTGAATGATGAAGCCAAGGAATCTAGTCTAGAATACAACTTCAGACAAAAGCTTCAGACCAGGGCACACATTTTGGAAAAATGGTTTCCAAAGCTGATATGAGAAAAGGTTAGGAGAACCAATTCAGGTGATTCTTGAAAATTAATGGAGAGTATGCTTAGTATTAGTTTCTTAAGAAAAAAAGGAGGACGGGGAGAGACTTCTGCGGTAAGAAAAATGTTATTAGTTTGCAGTGTGGAGTTTTCAGATGATTAAAGAAACTGAACAATACGTAAAGGAGCTTGATAGGTACAAGGGGGGAAATTCTGGTTGGATTACAACCAGACAATGTGGCTGAACTATTTACCATATTGGCTTCCCAAAATACCAAAGATAAAGATTTGTTGAGTAGACAGTCAAAGCAGTAGACACTTGACTTTGGGTACCTTCTTCCCCTCCCACCATAAGACAAAGGAAAATCTGGGAGAGACACCCAGAATGTCAACATGCATGGAACTCAGCATCCACTATTATTAAGTGTTAAGAACAAGATGTGAGAATGAGCTGTTGAATTAGGAGATTCTGATTAACTCAGTAACCTTGAGAAACAGGAGGAGAACAGATCAAGGTGAGTCAGTAAATGTCAGGAAGAGGAGGCAAGGCAATGGAAGCAACAGCAACTACAACAGGAGAGGTATGGGCACGCATACAGGCTGGAGGGAAGCATACAGGGGCGCATCAACAGGTCTAAAGAGGAAGAGAAAATGGGAAGGGGGAGCTAAAGAGGTGGCAGGGAAAGCTGAAGGGGACTGAGAAAGGCTTCCTCAGCTTGGGAAAAAGGTAAGAGAAGACTTAGGCACAGTTGAGAGAACATTAGCAATGATCGTATTTCCAGAAAACAACCTGGAAAGAATACAAATGTCAAGCACATGCTGCAGTCAGCATAGGCAAAGAACTGTTTTCTTCTTCAGACTGACTTCTCTCATCATAATTTCCCTCTTCCCATTCTTTCCACATCCTTGAGATTAGCTGACTCTTCTCTCTTTAGGTGTGACCACACAGACTAGAATAAAACTTCAGATAGCATAATCCAAGACATCCTCAGTTATGTCAGGGAACCTATTTGGTTTCTTAGTTTCATGAGCAGATGTCACAGGAGAAAAAAGACTTTACACATTACCTTGGCATCTTGGATGAGAGGACCATTAAACAGCAAGGAAAATGTGGAGAGTGTAGTTAGTTCCTAAATATCTACCTATCTAGCTAGTTATTGTAGACAATAATGGCAAAATGGTAGTTTGTGGAAAACCTCTTTCATACAGACCAAATTCCTCCTATGTGTCTTCTTTCACAAAGTATAAACCTGCCCCTTTCCAAGGAGTTCCTTCCTATTGGGATGACTGCAAGATCACACTGGTTCAATGATCAATACCGTATTAAGCAAAATAAAGCAAAAGCCCATGGAACAGTGACTTTACTTTCAGAAACTCCAAGTTCCCTTTTATGCTAGTACAACCAAAAAGTGCACACTTTCAGAAAAACATGTAGACTGTCAGACAGCTCAGACTTTAACACTCTTTAAACTTGCTATTCTGGTTTGCAGTTAAGGCCTCTGTAGAATATGTGTTCAAATCTCTCTGCCCATCAACATCCCACTCACCATTTTCTACCTCCTGTCTACAAAGCACATCTCTACAGCTTCCCTACTAGAGTTGCAAAGATAAGATGCTACCGCAGGGTGGTCCATTGTGTGGCCTGCCTAGGGTGGGGTCTTCCTTTGGTCACAGTAATGTTTCCACATGCTCCTCCTCACACTCCAAAGAAGAAAGGATGCTGGAACACACCAGCATAAAGAGGACACAAACGTAAAGAAAACATCAGCAGAGTTCAATGTCACCAAAGTGCAGGTGCAAACCTGAAGCAACCCCGTCTCGGCCAGCCCAGACTTGCCACCAAACCCCAGAGGGGGTCAGTCTTTTCATTTCTCTTGATTCGTAAACAAATCAGCAGGGAGGACAAGGTTCTTGCAGACAATAAAAAATAATCAAAGCTGAAATGAGAACAACACATTCCATTGGTAACGTTCACTTTTTTCAGAGAAATATACTAGTGTTGTGATTTTGAAACTGAGGTTCAGATGAAATGTCAGAATTAACACAAACTCATCTACCACCACAAAACAGCAGTTAATCAAAGTGCATGGGTCACCTTATTGAATATTAAAGACAATTAGAAATAAAACACGTATTAGAAAGTCAGACATTTAGTTAATGTGGTGGCTCATACCTGTAATCCCAGTACTCAGGGGGCTGAGGCAGAAGAATTATGAATTTGAGGCCAGCAAAGATTACATCATGGGTCCTGAGCTACAGTGAGAGACTGTCTCAAAAACAAACAAAAAAACAAAAACCCAAAAATCCCACAAAAAAAAAAAAAAAAAAAGCTAATGGTTGACAGGAGAGTAAGAGGTGTTTTCTTCAGCAGGGTAGCCAATGGTGACACACCCATGATCCTGTGAAAAACCCCTAATGAAACTCACTAGTTCATTTTAAAATGTGCTGAAAGATAGTTGAGCAGTTAAGAGTTCACGCTGCTCTTGCAAAGGAGTGGGGTTTGTTTCCCAGCACCCACACTATGGTTTACAACTATCCTTAACTCCAGTTCCAGGGGATCCAATGACCTCTTTTGGCTTATACTGGCACCAGGCACACAAGTGGTACACATATGTACAAGCAGGCAAAACACTTACACACATAAAACAAAATAACCTAAAAATGCTTTAAGTAGCAGAGGGAGACAAGGAGTAATGGTGTGGTGGTATTACCTCAAACACACACACACACACACACACACACACACACACACACACAAAAACACATAGTGAAACTATGTGTAATTAATACCTACAAATAAAGAAATGAATCCTAAATAATGATGGCAGGTAGATAGAACTACTGGCTTCTACTGTATATTCTCCTTTTATTCTGAATAATTTTCACTTTCCAACTAAGACAAAACTAAGGAGGAAAAAAATCCTTAAAAGTTAATTATCAAGGATAGTAGCAGGCTAGAGCTAACTGTGAAGTTGACCTATTTATGACAGATGTTCTGAGCAGAGTGGCTTAGTCTATAGTGCTGTGAATTGTACAGGTGACCTGTTTGTTCCCCGAAGGAAGTCTGGGAATCGGTCGCATCTGGGTTATCAACTGTTCTTTGCCAATGTCCTTCCTATAGCCTAACAGAACAGGGCAGGTGCCTCGTGTAGCACCTAATGTGACTATACAGTTGCCTTCGAGAACCTTCCTCAGCTTTTGCTGTTGTGGGATGGTAGGAAGCCTCCTTTCCCTGGCAGACAGAAAGACTGGCCACAATAAGGAGGTGAGGCCTGCAATGCTAATCTGTGGAGTTACTTGAGGTCTAAATGCTTCTGGGCTCATCTGCTTTGAGAAAGGTGTGATATAGAACTTTATTGCCCAAAGTGTGGTCTGGCAGCATTTGGTGATCCCTAGAAATGAGGACGTAGACTCTACCCCTTACTTAGTGAATCAGATTTGGCTGTTGCTGCTGCTGCTGCTGCTGCTGCTGCTTCTTCTTCTTCTTCTTCTTCTTCTTCTTCTTCTTCTTCTTCTTCTTCTTCTTCTTCTTCTTCTTCTTCTTCACTGCTTCTTCTTTTTTTTTAAGATTTATTTATTATGTATATAGTGTTCTGCCTACAAGTATGTTTGCATACCAGATAAGGGCACCAGATCTCATAGATGGTTGTGAGCTACCTCGTGGTTGCTGGGAACTGAACTCAGGACTTCTGGAAGAGCAGCCACAGTTCTTGACTGCTGAACTCCAGGCCCAGATTTGGCTTTTAGCATAATGTTCATGTGTCAAGAGCTGAAATAGTGCAAAAAGTGTTTAAAAGTGTCTGAAGTTACTATCAGGTACTGGTGTTGCCTTTGAGTGGAAACTTAGGACAAAAACAAACAAACAAACAAACAAACAAACAAGTCACATTTCCAGGCAGATTTGTTTATCTGGTCAAGTGTGACAAGCACTAAAAGGCCTCTTCTAGCTCTAACTTTGTAGATACATATATGTCTATAGATGGTCCTATTTGCAGTCTCCAAGGGCTGGGGACAATGACAGCAGCATCCCCAGAATTGGCCCAACCGAACTGAAGTTTCATATCCCTCCTAGACCTGACTCCTCCTTCCTTACCTTTAGGTTCAAACGCTGGTAGTCACTGGCCTTTGGCCTCCGAGTGACTTTGGATCTTTTTCCTTCTAGGGCAAAAGCAATAATCTGAGGAAAGAAAAAGGAAAACAGATTAACATTTGGCTCTGTGATGATGTACTTCAGTTTGTGAAATCAGAGGTAGATCTACAAAGAGGCCTGTTTAAATTTTATTCTCTCTCTCTCTCTCTCTGCACACTAGGCAAACGCTGTATCAAGCACAAGATACAACACTGTAGTGGAATGCTTGCCTAACATGAACATAGCCTGAGTTCAACCTCCAGTACCACAAAAGTAAGTAGCAAAATTGTAAAGATTTTAAAAGGGGCTTGGTTACAAGATCCTTTATACTATTTAATAGGGAACAACAGACCTAGGGTGTAGCCTGTGGGATCTGTATGGTTTAATTGTGAGGACAGAATCAAAGGTCTGCCACTTCCCTTGCCAAATAGCTCTAGGTCAGGGCTTTAAGGAAAACAAAACAAACAAACAAACAAACAAAGGATCATAGTCATTGATGGTTTCCTCTCTACAAATACATGTTTTGCACCCACATGCTGCTTCAACAACTACACTCTGATTTACCGCACTCATCACAAACATTTGGATGTAGAATGAAGAATGCACATTTTTACTAATGGTTTTCCCTTGTTCTTTAGAGCCAATGGCTATCACAAACTGAACTCCCCAATTGAACTGGTTACTGAAATTATCTTCTAAATCTCATGGCTCATTAGGAAATACAACCATTTTGTCATTAGAGTTGTTTCTAAACGACCCTGGTGACACTTTAACCCCAAATATGTGTACATTTATCCAGTTTCTAGGTTTGCTTCTAACTCTTGCTGGTTGCAGAAGAGCTGTCATTGGACTTTATGCTACTGGTATTAGAGACTACATAACTGAAAATATTCTTCCTGCCTCCAGATGCAAGACAGTTGGGATAGAAGCTAGAAATGGTACACTGTCTCAAGCATGGAAAAAAGGGAAGAGGTCTACACATCAAGAGCTCTGGTCCACAGAGGCTGGGTAACTTCTGAACTCCAAGTTACGGCAGGAGAACTCAAATAGGTCAGGTCATGATTCATGTCCAACTTGGCACTTTACAGCAGAACACACAGGAAACAGGTCACACGACTGAAACACATGATTTACAAAACTAGAGTTGTGTAAATCTTAGCAGGGTCTGAGGAAAAACTGAAGTTGATCTTAAAATCCTCAGAGTTCACAAGCAGATGAGTGGCAGGTAGCTGCTCATGCACCAAACTCTCAGGGTTAGGGAAATCCCAGTCTTCTCTTACCTTCCGTTTGTTGTGGTAAGCAATATAGAGGACAGCAACAAGAACAGCTGCAGTCACCAGATAAGCAAAGAAGTGGCTGCTCTCTGCACTGGTGTTTCCAGAACTGTCCTTATAAGAGTCATCCTTCTCATCATTCACAGACTCCCTAAGTGTCTCCTCTCGGTTCTCACTGGAGGAAGGGTCAAACACCTTTTCATTATCTTCTTCAAGCGGTGAGCCCTCTTCTGGCTCTGTATCACCCTCTTCAGTCTCCTTGGTTTCCACAGCTTCGGTAAGCTCTGAAGACTTCCCTGGCTTTAAAGAAAAGTCAGAGTCCCCTGCCGGTCTCTCCCCAGATTCAGTTTTGGAAGTAAGCATTGGTTTCTGTCCTTTTCCAGCTAGCTCCGTCTTGTCAATCTTGTCGGTCTCCTTATCTGAGGAGGGTTTGGAGATGCGGTCGTCCGCAGGAACTTTTGTGAGCTTATCTGAATCATCTTTTGGGGGCTTCTGCCTAGATTCATCGGGTTTGGGATCGGGTGGCGGAGGCTGCTGTGCAGTCCCGGTTGACTGGGTATCTGCTGTCTGGGGCTGATTTGGGGATTTGGCTGCAATGACCTGCCGCTGTCCAGATCCCACCGAACTGGAAACTGCTGCCATGGTCGACGCCACCGTCTCATCCGGGTTTGGGTTAGCGGGCTGCTGTCTCTGATCCGTCTGCCCGCCTGGCTCTCCGGGCTGCTGCCTCTGACCCGTCTGCCCGCCTGGCTCTCCGGGCTGCTGCCTCTGACCCGTCTGCCCGCCTGGCTCTCCGGGCTGCTGTCTCTGACCCGTCTGCCCGCCTGGCTCTCCCGGCTGCTGCTTCTGATCCGTCTGTCCACCTGGCTCTCCCGGCTGCTGCCTCTGACCCGTCTGTCCACCTGGCTCTCCGAGCTGCTGCTTCTGACCCGTCTGCCCGCCTGACTCTCCCGGCTGCTGCTTCTGACCCGTCTGCCCGCCGGGCTCTCCCGGCTGCTGCTTCTGACCGGTCTGCCCGCCTGGCTCTCCCGGCTGCTGCTTCTGACCCGTCTGCCCGCCGGGCTCTCCCGGCTGCTGCTTCTGACCGGTCTGCCCGCCTGGCTCTCCCGGCTGCTGCTTCTGACCCGTCTGCCCGCCTGACTCTCCCGGCTGCTGCTTCTGACCCGTCTGCCCGCCGGGCTCTCCCGGCTGCTGCTTCTGATCCGTCTGCCCGCCGGGCTCTCCCGGCTTAGACTCCACTTCCTTCTCAGGAGACATGGGGCTCTGGTTGGAGAGTTTTTCTTTAGAAGACTGAATCGGAGAATTATCGTTACCTGAGGTGATGAGTGGGTTAGATTCATGCGGCGTAACACCTGAAATAGAAAAAGCAGTTAAGCCCTCGGAAGAAAAAGCTGGGAGAAGAGAAGGGGGCTTGGCTTCTCAGCGCTGGAAGATGCCAGCGGTGATGGCCGAATGAGAGAAGGGTGGAGATGGCCCGAGGGTCGGGCCAGGAAAGGAGGACGCCAGCTCCGGTGGTACCCCGCCACGGTGAAGACGAGAGAACCTGAGGGAGAGGGTGGGATGGGGCGGGGGCTGGGGGGTCTTACTCGCCACTGCGACACTTAGGAGCAACGCAACTAGGAACCGCATCCTGTAGTCTGCACTTCCGCCCTCTTCTGCTGACGTGAGAGCGGCGCGAGGGACTTCGAGCCTGTGGCCACTCCCTTTCCGGCGGGCTGTTCCTCTTCCGGCCTCCCCCCGCCCCGGGGGCGGGGCTAACGGGTGCGGGCTGTCAGCGGCTGAGTATTCCGGTAGTGTGCAGCGCACGTGAGGACCCGCTCTTCCTCTTTTTCTCAGCACCCTGACGAGCTCAACCGCCTCTTCCCTGTGCACGTGTCCTCGTGCTCTGGGAGTTGTTCTGCGCGGCTGGCGCTGCGTCGCCCCTCGAGGCTCATGATATGGGGTCGCGGGGCCGGGAGCCGCTTCGCCGCGTCGTCCGCCGGTTCCTCTGACATCTCCGTTGCTGGTGGTGCTTTTCTCACTCCACACCAAAACGTACTCTGCTCGGGGCTTTCCCGTCTAGAAACAAACACTTCATCACTTTCGTTCCTGGTCGGAATCTCTTTCTTGACGGTATCTAGGGCCCTCTGAATTTACCACGGAATTTTTTTTCCCCTTTTTCTGAATTTGTTTGTATTTGATACTGCATTACTCTGCGGACGGGCTAGCGTCAAGCTCGTGCCTCCCGAGTGCTTAGGATTGCATGCGTCTCGCCACGCCCCCTTCTGGGGCTATTTATTTATTTAAGACATAAGGTATCAAAGATTTATTTTGTGTGTACCACCTATGCGCGGTGTCCTTTGAAGACGTGTATCAACACTGCCTGGCAGCAATATATTCTTAATAATTCAAACAAGAAAGCAGAAAAAAAGGTAATACTTATAAAAATTTATTTTAGGGAAGCCCAGCAGTGCGGTACATGCCTTCAATTCCAGCACTCAGGAGGCAGAGGCAGGAGGATCTTTGAGTTCGAGACCAGCCTGGTCTAGTTTCAAGCTAGCCAAGTCTACATAGAGGAACCCTGTCTTAAAAAAACAAACAAGAAAATACTATTTTAGGGGATAGAGAAATGATGGATTAGTGGTTAAGAACACTAACTGCTCTTCCGAAGGACCTGAGTTCCATTCCCAGCGCTCACAAGATAGCTAACAAAGGTCTGTAATTCCAGTGTCAGGAGATTTGACACCCTCTTTTGGCCTCCACAGACATAGTACGAATATGGTGTACAGACATACATGTAAGCAAAACATACATTTTTTAAATTCTTGCTGTTTGTTCATCTATTGATTATTATTTGCATTTGTTTCTTGTATCAGCTGTGATAGGGCTGGGTTGTTTAAACAGGTTGCTTGAAATAATTTATGAACATTTGCCAGTTTAGGTATTTTGTAAACAATGATTTAACAAATAGCAGGTCCTAGCTCAAACCAAAAATCCCAAAAACTATGTTCGTTTTGTTTTTGTTGTTTTGAGACAGGCAGCTTATAGCAGACCTGGAGCTCACTCCAAAAAGCAGTTGACCTTGAGTTAGCATCAGTCTTCCTTCCCCTGCCGAGATTACAGTTGCGTGCCACCATGCCACGTTAAATGGTCCTCAAAACTGGGGAGGTTTAAGACAGAAGCTATTTTAAATAAAATTATGAAATTATTTTATGTGCATGTGTGTTTTGTCTCCATTTATACCTATTTATCACGTGCCTGTTTGGGGCCCAAGGAAGCCAGAAGAGAGAATTGGATCCTTTGGAACTGGAATTGAGAGATGATTGTGAGCTGCTGTGTGTGTGTGCTAGAGATTGAACCTGGGTCCTCTGGAAGAGCAGCCAGGGCTCTTAAACTCTGAGCCATCTCTCCAGCCTCAGAGGCAAAGGATCTTTTGAACTGCCAGATTTTGGAGGCCAGCCTGAAGAACAAAGTGAAACTCAAGTGCATAAATAGCCAGTTGTGGTGGTGCACGCCTTTAATCCCAACACTCAGGAGGCAGAGTCAGGCGGATCTCTTGTGTGTTTGAGGCCAGCCTGTTCTACAGAGTGAGTTCCAGAACATGCAGGGCTGTTGCACAGAGAAACCCTGTCTCAAAAAAAAAAAAAAAGCAAAAGTACATAAATAAATACAACTTTAATTTCATAAAGTAAGCAATCTGGTGAAGTACATAACTACCACATAGATGTTTATTCATGTTTACTGTAATGGTTCATTTTTATTGTCAACTCGATGGGCTTTAGAATCACCATGGAAAGAAGTCTCTGGGCACTCCTGTAAGGGATTATCTAGGTAAGGTTAACTGAGGTGGTAAGACCCACCCTGTGTGTGGACATTAGTATCTCATGGGCTCGAGTCTTGAACTGAATAAAATGGAAACCAAGCTGAGCACAACATAGAATATTCATACCTCTCTGCTTCCTGACTACAAATTCAGTGTGACCAGCCACCTCCTGCTCTTACAGCCATGATTTCCATTCCATGATGCTCTGTGTATTTCTGGGAACTGTAAGCCAAAGTTAACCTTTAAATTACATTTGTCAAGTAGTTTGCAATGATCTCCAGACAAATAACTGATTGAAAGCATTCCAAGAACTGCCAAGCAGAATATGAAAAGTGTGTATCAGCTGAGGAATGAACCATGGGACTGAGGACAGAAGGTTGTAGATACTTCTGGGGACTAATGAAAGGAGAGAGGGATGAGGATTCCTGGCAGAGTGAGCAGCACATGCAGTGTGAACCTGGTGTTGTGGGTAAGCCTAAAGAGCAAGCTTGTTGTGTGACAAGGATAATGATAGAGAAGGAGGTTGGAACAGAGCCAGACCGAGAAACCAGTGATCTGGGAGTTGACGAGAATGTAAGTTTTTATGCAATAGAAAATATGTCAGCTAACTCTGGTTGACAAGTAAACTGGGCCCACTCCAGCCAAAAAGGACTATAGCCATAAGAAAGTAACACTCTGTGAGAGGCCTGGATGTGAGATATGATATATGATATGATATGATATGATATGTAGTCCTGGATGGCTGAAATTTTTCAAAATTTCAAGAACTAGTACATAACACAACTACAGTTTTAGAAACAAGGGCCTTTTCTGTTATTTGAATAAAAATCCCTTTAACAGGCTCCTCACCACTTCTCCCCATCCTTTTCCTCTCCCCTCTTACATTACTGAAGAAAGAATAAAAATCTGATGAGAAGTCTACCAGATTATTTCAGGAGCTGGACGATAGCTCAGTGGTAAAGTGCTGCTTGCCTGACATGTGAGAAGCCCTGGGTTCCGTCTCCAAAACTCAAAAAAAAAAAAAAAAAAAAAATCTTTAGAATGTTGACTCTGCCTTGGCTAGAGGAAGTGAACTGGTAAAGGAAACTTTTTCTAAAAGAAAATTCTGTCTGCCTGCTTTAAGATAAATGTTTGACTAACATTTAAGGATATTGGCTTAGTGAGGGTGTGGGTGGGTGGGGAGGGTAGTGGCAAATGATTAAACCTGACCTGGTGTCCACATTACTAGGTAGGGGAGGAAAAAAGGTCTGCTCACACAGAGCTCTTGGACACTGAAGAGGTTTAAGTAGGGGCAAGTTGTAATCAGAGTGGAGAATGTTTGGCCATTACTTGGCTGGTATCACAAAGAATTGACTTGGGTAGTAGGGGAAAGGGATCAGGAGACTCTTGCAACAGTCCCAAGTTGTGCACAGGCCCAGAGAGCATGATGGGAGGTGGTCAAACTGGAGATGCGATTGGAAAGCAGTACCAATATGCTTCCGAGGTAGACTGGAAAGGAAGCAGAGGAAAGACGGGGAGGGAGAAAGGAAGGCACTTTCTCCCTGAGGTAGGAACGAACCACTGCTCGAGAACCAGAAGGAAATGAATTTGCTTCTGGTCAATTACTTATTACTTTGGTTTATCTTCACTTTAGATGATTGTGATAGCCAAGAGGAGAGGTGTTGGCATGGTAACTGGAAATGTGAGCATGGAGTTCAAAGCAAATATAGGAACCATTTTCCTCAGTATTATTTTGTTTGTTTGTTTCTTGAGATGGAGTTTTTCTGTATAGCCCTGGCTGTCCTGGAACTCACTCTGTAGACCAGGCTGGCCTCAAACTTACAAAGATCATCGGTCTTCTGTCTCCCAAGTGCTGGGATTAAAGGCAGAATTTTTTTTTTTTTTACCTAGAGCTATTGTTAATATTTTTGTAGTCATATATGTGCACATGATAGTTAACTGAAAATACAGCAAGTTTTAAAACCATGCATACAAATCCCACTGTACAGGCCTCCAAGTGAGTCATGTCATTTGTCATCTGGGACATCATCTCCTTGATTTCCACTGATTTTATTTCTCTCTACATCCTTAGAAGTCTCTGATTTGTCACAGAATGTAGTGCTTCTAGAAGGAAAGTGAAATGAACAGTATCAAACAGCACCGGGTTGAAATAAGATTTCAGATTAGATGCTGCGCTGGCTGGTTTTACAGCAACTGGACATAAGCTGGAGTTATCTGAAAGGAGAGAAACTCAATTGAGAAAATGCCTCCATAAGATCTCGGGCATTATCTTAGTGATCAATGGAGGAGGGCCCAGCCCATTGTGGGTGGGGCCATCCCTGGACTGGTGACTGTAAATTCTACAATAGACCAGGCTGAACAGACAGGGAACAAGCCAGTAAGCAGCACTGCTCCACAGCCTCTGCACCAGCTCCTGTCTCCAGGTTCCTGCTCTGTTTGAGTTCCTGTCTTGGTTTCCCTCAGTGATGGACTACATTGTGGAAGCACAAGCCAAATAAATCCTTTCCTCCCTAATTTCTTTTTTGGCCATGGTGTTTCTTTGCAGCAACAGAAACCCTAACTAAGACAAAAGCTTCAGCCAAGTGGTAAGAGTTTGGCTGCAGGAAAGACCAGTACTGACTGTGGGCAGTACAATCCCATGGGTTGGGGTCCTAGGTTGAACAAAATGGAGAAAGTGAACTGAGCACTGGCATGCATCCACTCCCTGCCTGTACACATAAGTTAAGTGCAGGCATGCATCCGCTCCCTGCCTATACACATAGGCTAAGTGCAGGCATGCATCCACTCCCTGCCTGTACACATAAGCTAAGTGCAGGCATGCATCCGTTCCCTGCCTGCACACATAATGTGAACAGCGACTTCACACTCCTGCTGCATGACTTCCCACCATGAAGGGCCTTCTATCCCTTCTCAACCTGTGAGCCAAAACGCATCCTTTGTTTCTTCATGTGTTTCTGTGAGGCGTTTTGTCACAGCAATGGAAAAAGTAGCTAATATGGTTTCCAAATCGATGCAGCAACATAGTCTTTGGTGAAACCCAACTTGGCTTCTTTGCAGAGTCTATCAGTCGATCCTAAAATTCACATGGACATGCAAGAGACTCAGAAGGACCAAGCAGTGCTGTAAAAACAAAAACAACTGCCAGAGGACTCACACTTACTAATCTGATTGATCTGAAAGACTTATTTTATATTTATTACCTGTATCTCTATGTGTGTGCATGTTTTAGGTACCCACAGTGGCCACAAGAGGGCCCCTGGAACTGGAGTTAACAGGAAGTTGTGAGCTGCCAGAGGAGGGTGCTGGCAATAAACCTTTGGTCCTTTGAAAAACTGGCAAGTACTCTCAACCCATAAGCTATCTCTCCAGTCTCAACCTTAAAGCTACTGTAATACTTCAGTAGGTATGGTGCTGGTGTGATGATGTGGCTGGGATGAACAAGCTAAAACTGGGAGTTTAGAAACAAGCTTGCCCATTTGCCATTACTTCATTTTTGATGAGGATACCTCTCGCTCTCTCTCTCTCTCTCTCTCTCTCTCTCTCTCTCTCTCTCTCTCTCTCTCTCTCTGTGTGTGTGTGTGTGTTTGAATAACACCAGGGCAGCAAGCCCACAAGCACACAAAAAGATGCTGTGTATCATTAGTGTTCGAGAAATATCAATCAAAATCAATGAAATACTATTTCAGAAAAACTAGAAAATAAATATTGCTGAGACAAAGGAGGGCCAGGGCTCTCAAGTAGGCATGTAACAGTACAGCTGCTAGGAGAAAGTCTGTGACTTCCTTAAGAAATTAAAATAGCTACTTATGTGGCTTTGCAGTCACACCCCTAGTTATGAATCCCCAAAGAATTAAAAAAGAAAAATTCAGCATTTACCTGTATGTGAATTTTGTTCTGTTTGTTTTTGTGACAGGGTTTCTCTGTGTAGCACTGGGGTTTAAAGTATGCCCACTGCCTGGCATACTTGCATGTGAATGTACATAGCAGCATTATTCATGAAAGTCAGATGGTTCTGGGAATGGAACCCAGGTTCTCTGCAACATGGTTGCAATAAATATTTGTCATGAAATGAATGAATAAGCACAAGGTGGGCAGGGAAGGAGGGTGGCTCAGGGATAGAATGTTAGCTTACTTCACACAAAGCCCAGGGTTCAATTCCCAGGATCATCACTGTGTGTGTGGCTAGCCTGGAACTTGCTACGCTGGTCTAGACCTCACAGATATCCATCCACCTGCCTCTGCCTGAATTGCAGAATACTGAAATTAAAGGTCTACACCATCATGCCTTGTGATATTTTGTTTTCTGAGACAGTGTCTCAAGTATCCCAGGTAGGCCTCCAACTCCATATGTAGCTGAGAATGATCTTGAACTTCTGATCCTTCTGCCTGTACCATCTTGGGTAATGGGGCGCCATGCTCAGTTTATGCTGGACTAGGAATTGAGCCCCGGGCTCTGGGCATGCGGGTCAGTCACTCTACTGACCGAGCCACATGCCTAGCTATTCAGCTACTCTTTTGAATAGGGCTTAAGTCACTGTTTACACAGTTCCCAGTTCTCCACCTTGTCTTAGTTCCTCAATGTGACCTATCTTATAGCTGCCAACTATGACCACCATCTCCTGGTAACCACTTCCTTATGAGGCAAAAAGCAAACAAATTGAATTCCAGTCAATAGAAACTGTTCAAGAACATCAGAACCCGACTGGCCTTAGTTATTGCTCAAAGTATGAAAGCAATTAAGGAACTCCCCCCACCCCAACACACACTTTTGCTCATTTTTCATAGCACACCTTTAGTTCCAGTACTGGTGAAGCAGAGGCAGGCAGATCTCTGTGAGTTCAAGGCCAGCCTGGTCTACAAAGCTACACAAAGAAACCCTTTCTTAAAAAAAAAAAAAAAAAAAAAAAAAACTCAAATAAAAAGATGCATTTGTGTGTATGTGTCCATGTGTATGACTGTATGTGCACTTGTGTCTGTGTGTACCAGAAAAGGGTGTCCAACAGTCTCCAGTCAATTGTTTGAAGGAATGTCTTTCCCTACCCTTGGAGTTCGAGTTTTCTAAGCTGGGCTGAAAGGTATGTGGGGGTCAGTTGTCCTGTTAATGTGGATGCTGGGATCCAATTCTAGATGATTGTACAGCATGTGCTCTTAAGTACTGAGCCATCTTTGTTTGTAGCCCAGCTGGAGAAACAGATAGTAGTCATAATCACAGTATTGTAAATGTACAATGCTACCTAAAAATGGCTTTAATGGCTTAAACAAAAACAAAACAAAACAAAACAAAACAAAACAAAAAAGCTGGCTTCAAACTCAATATATTATGTAGCCAACGATGACAATAAACTTCTGATCTTCTTGCCTCTACCTTCCAAGTGCTGGAATAACAGCAGCACCACACATCTGGTTTTACTGAATGCTGGGGACTGAAAGTTAGATGCTGTGCATGCTAGCCAAGTACTATAGCAAGCCCGGCATTGGTGGCGACATCATTAATCCCAGCACTAGGGAGGCAGAGGCAGGTGGATCTCAGTGAGTTTGAGACTAGCCTGGTCTACAGAGTGAGTGCCAGAATAGGCTCCAAAGCCACAGAGAAACCCTGTCTTGAAAAACCAAAACCAAACCAAAACAACAACAAAAACAAACAATTGGGCTATATCCCCAGCTCTGAAATATAAAAATATTACTCATGTTAAATGAATTTACTACTGTTGAAAATATCAAAATACTGATACAAGGTACAACATGGATAAACTTGAAGACACGACACAGGGGGAACTTGGTGACAAAAGACTTCATGTTGAATTATTTTGAGTAAATACCAGGATAAACAAATTTATACAGACAAAATAATTGCTGGCTCGCAAGAGGCTGGGGAGTGACCTTTCAAGAACATAGGTTCTCTTGGGAAAAACTTAAATTCTCTGTAATTGGCGGTAACAATGGACACACAGATACACAGTTCATTATACTACAATCCAATAAAATTGTTTTCTTTAAAAAAAATACAAGATGGCTCCCTTGGTAAAAGCACTTGCCACAGAAGCCTGAAGACCTGGGTTTCACCCCTGGAAGGTGGAATTGGCCCCAGAAAGTCCTCTGACCACCCTAAGAGCTTGTGCTTCCCGGCCATAAATGTGCTAATAACATGTCATTTTAATTTATTTATTTATTGCCCCCCCCCCCAGACAGGGTTTCTCTATATAGCCCTGTCTGTCTTGGAACTAGCTCTGTAGACCAGGCTGGCCTCGAATTCAGAGATCCACTTGTCTCTGCCTCACAAGTGCTAAGATTAAAGGCATGTGACGGCATGTCATTTTTTTTTTTTTTTTTTTTGGTTTTTCGAGACAGGGTTTCTCTGTGTAGCTTTGGAGCCTATCCTGGCACTCACTCTGGAGACCAGGCTGGCCTCAGACTCACAGAGATCAGCCTGCTTCTGCCTCCCGAGTGCTGAGATTAAAGGCATTCTCCACCAACGCCCGGCTTTGCTTGGGATTTTCTAAACTCAGCTGGTATGACTCTAAGTGGTCTGTAAAAATTTAACCCAGGGCTTGGCAGGAAGGCAGTGGCTTGATTCAACAAAAGGTCTAAAGAAACATCCAGAAACAGTCTTGCAACTGTAATTTTATTTTCTTTTGTGAAAATAAACTGGGAGTTTAAATTGCTCCAAAAAAACCATAAAAACGAAATGAAGTACACACAGAAGAAGCTTGTGAGGTGGTGGGGGGAGGGGCAGAGAGTCTTACAACTTCCATGGATTGTACTAGCACGACTGAGGTGACAGGAGCCAGACATCCCCCCCCCCCCCCCCGCCACTCTGAGACTTCGAGGTGAGAAAATTCAACTGGGCACCAGAGAGGAACATAGACTTCTTGGAGGCACCTTGAGTCCCTTTAAATGCAGGGGTGGGGGAACCGTTTCAGAGGAAGGACCCTTTTTCCCCACCACAAGCTGGAGGCTGGCCCGTTGGGGCCCAAAGAGAGAGGGGGGATGCTGGTGGGAACGACCAGGCCAAGATGTTATTACACATGATCATGGCCTTACACTGGGCAGAGGACAAGGGCATGAACTGATGTTGAACACATAACAAAAACTTGAGCAAGGGAACAGGGGTGACCTGGAAGAAAGGAAGCCAGGCTAGAACTCCAGGCCAGGCAAAGTTGCAGATGTGGTGGGGGAGCTAGGGCAGGGGGGGGGGCTGGTGAGGACAAAGGAGGGCAGAGAGTCAGGAAGAGCAGAGGTAGAGAGGCGTCTTCTGCCCAGGTAAACCCACCACAGCTCGTGGGGAGAGCGCCACACACTGCTTTTCAGTGCTTTCTTGTGAAGATTTGGGGGGTGGGGAGTTGAGGAAGGTTTTGTTTTTTTTTTTTTCTTTTCTTTTTCTTTTTTTTCTTTTTTTTAAAAAAAGCCTGAAGATCAGCTACTGGTTACATCTACACTTGTAAAGCACTGCTGTTACCAGTCACTTTACAGAACAGTCCAGAGTGGTCAAATATTGACCAATAATGTTTCCTTCCCCCCCCCCTCCTCTCGTCTGAACCATTACTACTTGGAGTCCCGAGACTGCCTGCATAGAACAGGGGGCAGCTTAGTGGGCAGACTTGGTGACCAAGGAAAGAGGCTGGGCCTGTAGCACGGGGAGGGCCTGATGGGCATGGAGGGTGGCTGGGAAGGAAGGGGGAGAGGTCAGCAGGGCAGAGGGCACGGAGCCCAGGGGCAAAGGCCTGGATAGGAGTGGGGGCTGGCTGCCCATCTGGCTGGCGTTGCTTGCTGTGGCCTTAGCTGACAGGAAGGCAGCTGAATGGAGAGCCAGCTGGGCTCGGGCCTCCGGTTTGGTGGTGAGGGACAGGGGCTGGGCTTGCTCGGAGTGGGTGGCTGCAGGGGCAGCTGGCGATGCCAAGGCTGCGGAGGGAGTTGCAGGGGAGTCCAGCGTGCTGCCATGGGAAGAGGCAGGGCTATCGCAGGGCTTCTCAGGGGGCAGGTACTGAATACATGGCTTCTTGCTCTTAGAGGCCAGAATACCTAAAGGTAAAAACAAAAGGAGAAATCATCAGCAGACAGCAGTGTGTGTGTGTGTGTGTGTGTGTGTGTGTGTGTGTGTGTGTGTGTGGGAAACAGCAGTGGCTGCACACAGGTACAGCTAGCCTTGTGGATCTGTGGCTCCCACTTGTGGGTTCAACTCAGAGCTGATGAAAAATATCCAGGGGAAAAAAACCTTTGTCCATACTAAACACATGCATTTTATTTCCCTTGCTATTTTTTCACGAAGCAAATAAAACCTAACAGCTATTTCCACAGCATTCATTGTGCAGGTTGTTATAAGGCATCTAGAGTTGGTATAAGGTAGATGGAAGATATGCGTATAAGCTATATATAAATACAAGGCCACCTCACTCAAGGGACACCTGTGGATGGGCTATCTGAGAAGTGGAGTATGGTGGGGCCCTAGGACTAATTGAAAGGATATTGAGGGATAATTGTACATTGGAAACATTAAGATTGCTTTAAAAATACCTGAAAAATGATATTGTATGGTGTGTGTGGAGGGCAGACGTTAAGTCTGGTCATTTTCTACTGTTTTACACTTATTTTTTTTTTTTTTTAAGTGTTTTACCTGCATGTACGTCTGTGTACTAGGTGTGTGCCTGGTACCTAGAGGTCAGAAGAGGGCATTAGATCCACTGTGACTGGAGTTACAAATGGGTACAAGTGCTCTTCACTGCTGAGCCAACTGTCCAAACCGTCCACCTTATTTTTGAGGCAGTCTCTCACTGCATACAAAGCCTGTTGTTTTTAGTAGACTAGATGACCAGGTTGCCCTGGTGATTTTTACATGGGTACTGGGAGTCTGAGCGCAGGTCCTCATGTTAGCACAGACTTTATCTACCAAGTTGTTTCTCTAGTCCTTGGTTAATTTGTTTGACACAGGCTCTCATGTATCCCAGGCTGGCCTCAGACCAGAGCCAAGCACGACCTTGAAGATCTCTGTCTACCTCTGGAGTGTTAGGATAGACGCACAGTACCACCCCTGTTTTGTGTGGTGCGGGCTATCAGGCTCAGGGCTTCATGCATGCTTGGACAAGCATTCATTCCATCACCTGAACTGCATCCCCAGGCTTTTCAAAGAGTCCAAGATTAGGAAACTATACTTAAGAATACCCGGAGAAGGCACAATCCAAAGACCGGATGCCAAACTGACAAAGATCCACTCAGAATCTGACCAGAGAGAAACAGTTCAAAGTCTTCTGCCTCATCATCCTCTTCTTAAACCCCTTAACTGTTAAGAGGAATCTCTACTCGGTTTGCTTTCAGATCCTTGGCTAATGACACACTGCTGAGCACTGTGGCCTGTAACAGACTTTGCATCATCGCTATATTTTACTACCGTGTGTTACTACATAGGAACATATAGGTCACGTGGAAGAAAGGAGGCCAGTGTACCACAATGGCACAAGCAGTTGCACATGTGTTACATATCAGCTTTATACTGAGATAAGCCCACAACCTAAAAACCTGTCACGCTGAGCGATGCTGTGTGCTAGCTGTCATCCACTACAGCTTCTTGTGGGATGTGGTTCCTGAACAAAGGCAAACACCGTTCTTCTAGTGAGCAACCGAGGAAAATCTAATTCCAGTGAATTCATATAGGTAAGTGGTGTGATGGTCAATCTTCACCATCTCCATGGAAACATGCCTCTGTGTCCATAAAATGCTTCCAAAAAGTTAACAGAGCAAGGAGAATCCACCCTGAACACAGGTGGAGCTTAGACTAAATAAATAAAGGAGAAAGCAAGTTGGGAACTCACTTTTACCTCCCTGCCTCCTGACCAAGAGTACAGTGTGATCAGCTGTCATGTCCTCCCACCAAGAGGGATGGTATTCTCAAGCTCTTAAACAAAACAAATCCTTCCTTAAGTTGTTTTTGTCAGGTATCACATATTTTGTCAAAGTAACGAGAAAAGTACCCAATCCAAGTGCTGTGATTATCTCTAGCCTGCCACCTGTGGAAGGGAACTCAGAGATCAATTCCATCTAACTCCTGTTTTTACCACATGCAGGACACAACCCTTAAGGGACAACTCAGTGACTGAGACATGCCTTGGATTTGAAAAGACTGTGTCTTTCCCTTTAAGACAGTTATTATTATGGCTGGGGGGTGGGTGGCACACACCTTTAATCCCAGCACCCAGAAGGCAGAGGCATCTCTGTGAGTTTGAGGCCAGCCTGGACTACAGAGAGAGTAACAGGACAGGCTCCAAAGCTACACTGAGAAACTCTATCTTGAAAAACCAAAAACAAGTAAGCAAATAAACAAATAAACAAGATACTTATTATCTTAAGGAGGGTAGCTGGGGAGACCCCAAACCCTCCAAACTTTTTTTTTTTAATTTTATTTATTTATTATGTATACAACATTCTGCTTCCATGTCTATCTGCACACCAGAAGAGGGCACTAGATCTCATAACTGATGGTTGTGAGCCACCATGTGGTTGCTGGGAATTGAACTCAGGACCTCTGGAAGAACAGTCAGTGCTCTTAACCTCTGAGCCATCTCTCCAGCCCAACCCTCCAAAGTTTTATATGAGGGGGCTGGGATCAAACCCAGAGCTGACAGGCAGTTCTCCTAGAGGCCGCAGCCCAGGACTCACCCTCTGCCTCTTGGATTTGCTGCTGTGACTGTGTCTGGGACAGCTGTTTTTCCCTCTTCCTCTTCTTCTTCTTACCCTGAAAAATATGGCCACAGGAGGAGATGAATAGGGACAGACTAACCCCAGCTTGGCAAGAGGACCCCAGATCACCCCAGAGCACAGGTTCTAACCCTCCTTCTCTTGATTGCTCCTGGTGTGGGTGCTAGAGAGTGACCCGCCCTTCTTTCTCAAAAAGTCACTCTGGTTGGGGCAGCCAGGCCTCTTGGTCTTAATAGCCTTCAAGCTATTGTTTCTTTCAAGCTTTACTCCCTAGAGGAGCGGTTACTAGTCTTTAAGAAGCCTCCTCACCCTGTGTGTGTGTGTGTGTGTGTGTGTGTGTGTGTGTGTGTACAATGCACACGGGGACCAGAGGACCGGATGCCACTCCTCAGGCATTGTCCATGTCCACCTTTTTTGGAGACATGGTCTTTTCAGTGGCCTGGAACTTGCCATAAAGGCTAGGCTGGTCAGTGAACCCCAAGGGTTTGCCTCTCTGTCTCTAGTGCTGAGAGTCTAAGAATGCAGCACCACGTCTGGCTTTGCACATAAGTGTGTCAAAGATTAATACTCGTCTTCTTGCAAAGCAAGTATTTTACCTACTATGCTATCACACTGGCCTGGTTGCTGATCTTTCCTGAGGTGTCCCAGGACCCTCTGAAAATTTGATACAGCTATGAACCCTCTTACCAGGAAAAAAAAAAAAAAGGAAATCATATTTAAAAATCTGACAAGTTTCAAAGAATTTCTAGACATGGCCCCTAAGGATCCAAACTTAGCTTCCTTGTTTCTAGAGAACATGGCTTCTCCTCTAAAAGCAAGCTTAAATTGCTTGCTTTCTCTCCTCTTCATTCTGAAAATGCATAGCTCCTGGGGGGATGGGAGTGGGTGGGTGGGGTCTGAGTTCCCGAACAGAGGGACACACACATAGTTGTGTGTTTGTGTGTCTAGGTGTGTGTTTCCATATACGAGTTCCCACGCAGCATGAACACACACATTTGTGTGTTTGTGTGTCCAGGTGTGTGTCCGTGACTGAGTTCCCACACTGCATGAACACTTACATAGTTGTCCCGGGCTGACCAGGTTGGGTAGAGCTGTGCGTGAAGCTGCCGTTCTTTCCGGGCAAGCTCATAGTATTTGGCCTGTTCTTCTCTAGACAAGTTGTGCCACTGAGGGAGAGAGGGTTAAGACACACAGGGCAATCAGGATAGGGGACAGTGAGGCCCGATTCCAGGGCGAGTCACAGGAGGGCAGGCAGGCCTTACCTTTCTTCCCAGGATTTGGTTAATGGCGGCACTTTCCTTCAGGGTGCACTCAGCCACCACCTTGGCCCTCATCTCCTTCATATACAACATGAAGGCATTCAGAGGCTTTTTCACATGAGGCTTCTTCTCCTCCTCCTTTTTCACGGTCACTGGGGATTTTCTGTGGAGGCATGTGGCTATAGGTTAGGTATCACCACCATCCAGCTGCCCCCATCCCTGCCTTCACTGAGGCAGCTGACCTCTCCTCAGGAGGAGAGGCTTGTCTGGGTGTATGACTGCTTTAAGGGTCTGAGGGGAGGGGAAAGAGGGAGGGAGGAAAGAAAGGAAGGTAGGAGAGAAAGAGGGAGGGAAAGACAGACAGAGGGAGGCGGAGAGGGAGGGGAAGACAGAGAGAAAGAGGGGGAGGGAGGAAGGAAAGGAAGAAGGGAACGAGAGAAAGAGAGAGATGGGGAGAGAGGGAGAAAAGGAGGAGGAAAGAGAAGAGAAGGAAGCAGGGTATGGCTCTCTGGGCTCCTCAGCCATGATGCCAGTGGTGTGGGCTTCCCTGCTGTCTCTCCAGCAGAGAGTATAAAGTCTGGGTCTTTGCTCTGGCATTAGCTGTCACAGAGTCTTGAGAAAATGAATTACTTTCTCCTTTCCTGGCCTCACATTTTATTGGGATGACAGGGAGGGGAGGGAAGCTAAACGCTTCCTTAGTTCCTCACAGCCACCAGAACTTGACTATGAGAACAGATGCAGCAAGTCTTAAAGGAAGGGACACAGAAAATCAAAGAGAACAGCCTCCTGGAGAGAAAGAAGATAGGGCTAGGATTACAGCTGACACCAGGAGAGAAAGCCAAATGGTATGGGCTGTGCAGAGAGGACCGGCCAGTGGCTCACATCCCCCTCCATCCAGAGGGTCTCTTACTTACGCACTCACTGCAGGGCTCAGGCTGGGGGGTGCTGGCTCCTGCTTCACAATGGGGGAGACGATGGCAGGGTGGGGGATTCCTGAGGTGGGCAGGCCAGGGTGGGCAGGAGCCACCATGTGTGGGGAGAACCGACTTGAGACCAGGCTGCATAACAAACAGAAACAAATGAGAACAGAGAAGCAAGGGCTGCGTGTCACCCAGATGGTTGTCATCTGCAGAATTAGGCAACTGGTTTAGGGAACGCCTAATGGTGCTATCTATTCCCTTCCCCTACCACATACAAGGTACCCAAGCCTGGTGCTGGGTGTAGGTGGGATGAAAAACACAGAAGGTAGCCGGGCGGTGGTGGTGCACGCCTTTAATCCCAGCACTCGGGAGGTAGAGGCAGGTGGATCTCTGTGAATTCAAGACCAGCCTGGTCTACAAGAGCTAGTTCC